ATTGAAAAGAGCATGAGTCCAGACTTTGGGTGCTTAGAGCCGTGTCTTGGCAGCCACTGGTGCCCTACCTCATTGTCCTAGTCGACGGGGAAGATATGAGGGAGAGCTTGTTTACAGATGGCAGACGTTCCAAGGTTTCAGAGAACTGTCAAGGTTTAGAAGGAGAAGAAACCTGGAGACCCAAGTGAGGATCCAGTCAGGAAAAGGAAAACCACCCAGCTATTGACAGACGGAGTTTAAGGCAGGAAATTGGATAAACAGTTGGCAGATAGCTGAAAAAGTACAAAGGGGGCACAGGGGTGACGGAGAGGTTGTAATTCCAGGAATCAATTATGAAGCCTGGAAGACTAGGAGGAGCAAGTGAAAACAAATCTAGAATCTCCTAAGAGAAAATCACAGGGCTGGGATCCAGACCTCTGAGGACACTGCCCGGCGGTGGTGGCTTTTCCTGAGGGACACCATTGCCGAGGTGCCGCTGACAAGAAGAGAAGGCGAAGGGGAAGGAGCAAGTCCTTCTCTCCCCACTAGTTTCTTCTGGGGCTTCCTACCAGCAAAGCCCAACCACACGGGCAAGGGAGAGGTGGTTGGCAGAGGCCCAGGCCCAAGGCCGCAGAGTCGGTAAACGAGGGTTGGCTTGGAACAGAGACGCTAACCAGGCTGCTGACAGGCACAAGGAGCACATAGGCCCCTTGTCCTCTGATGACACATGAGAATCTGGGATCTGGAGCTTCTAAGAGAGTGAGTGGCCTAGGGACCACCTCACGTAGCACAACCAGCCCTGGGCAAGCATGGAACTTAATGATAGTTAAAGTGAACATTTGTGAGGTGGGAAACTGTCAACTCCAAATGTGTTTTTATGGTAGAAAATTTTATGGATAATAGATGTATTTAGAGGAGACATTTTCAAAATGTGTTTTGGCTTGTAAAAGTCATACTAATTACAGTAATTTGTGTGATTTATTTAATTAGCAAGCTATTGAATTATGATTATGTATGCTAATACTAAGGGTCAGATCAATTTTCTTTTTTTTTTTTTAATTACTACACCAAGCTTCTGGTCATATAGCCACACTCTCCTTTGTTTTTTTTGTTTATATGATGTGTCCATACACACAAAACTCAAAGAGGGTTTAACAAGAACGTCGCCTTTAGTGCTCTATTAAACACAAGGAAACGAAAACCAATGGAGCAGCGAGGGAAATTATCCTCAAATGACAAGCCTAGCTGCCTAGATGTGCAATCTTCATCAGCAAATCTTTATTTCCCTGGAATATCACAAATGATATTTTTTAGATGGCTTGAGATCCCCTTAAAACATTCAAGGATGGTCTAATAGAGGAAGCAAAGCACAAGGAGCCTGTGGAATATTGAATCTCAGCTCTGCCACTTTCAAGGTGACCTTGAGGAAATTATTTTCATGTCTTACTTGTTCCATGGTGATAGGAATGTTCATTTATTTGCTCAACACTCAGAGATTGTCTGCCATGTGCCCAGTACTGCTCTAAGGGTAAGGGACCAGCGAACCCTCTGCCCTCACCGTGCTTTGCATTGCAGTTCAGGGTGGCAGAACAGAAACACATAAGTATGTAAAATGTTACGTAGCAGGAAATAATATGGAAAAACAAAACAAGACAGGCAAGTAGACATTGATGAGAGAGAATAACTTTTATAGAGTGAATAGAGAAGGCCTGTCTGATAAGGTAACACCTGAACATAGCTGAAGGAAGGAGGGAGCCGTGTGGATATTGGGGAAGAACTTTCCAAACAGGGACCCGGAAGTGCGAGGGCTCTGTTGTGGGACAGCTGAGTGAGGAAAGTGTGAGACAAAAGGGAAGTTTGGTAGGAGGGGAGATCCGAGAGTTTTAGGGAGGTAAGAAAGGACAAAGCCAGATCCTGCAGGGCCCTTCAAGCCATGATAATTCACTACAAGTTTTTGAGCAGATGACTGCTGTGATTGAACAAATCAGCAAGAAAACACACACACCCCCAAAAGTGGGCATAAGGCATCATCAACAGAAGTTTTCCAAAAGAAAATAGACAAATGGCCAACAAACATATGAAAAATGCTCAACATCACTAATCATCAGGGAAATGTAAATTAAAACGCTGAGATTCCACCTTACCCCGGTCAGAATGGCCATTATTAAAAAGTCTGAAAACAACAGATGTTGGCCTGGATGCACAGAGAAAGGAATGTTTATTCACTGTTGGTGGGACTGCAAATGGGTACGACTTCTATGGAAAATGGTATGCAGATTCTTTAAAGAACTGGAAGTAGACTTACCATTCTAAGATTGGCAAGATTGCCTACCCAGCAATCCTTCTACTGGGTATCTACCCAAAGGAAAAGAAATCATTTTATGAAAAAGACACCTGCACTTAAATGATTATCACACAACAATTCACAATCGCAAAGATATGGAATCAACCTAAGTGCTCATCAATTCATGAGTGGATAAAGAAAATGTAGTATACATTATATATAAACCATAGAGTACTACTCAGCTATAAACAGGAACGAAAATGTCGTGCAGCAACTTGGATGGAACTAGAGGCCATTATCCTAAGTGAAGTATCTCAGGAATGGGGGAAAAAAGCACACCATATGGACTGTGCAACAATTAGGAGCTAAATCACAGGCACACAGAGGCACAGAGAGATGTAAGGACATTGGAAACCAGGAGGGGGAGTGTGGAGGGAGGGGCAGGATTAAAGCCTTCTCCTATTGGGGACAATGAATACTATTCCAGTGATGGGCACACTAAGAGCCCTTAAACATTATATCAGGTAGCCACGTACCAAAACATTTGTACCCCCTTAATATTTTGAAATTAAAAAGAAGAATCACTATGTGTGGGTGAGGAATGAGCTGCGGGGGGCTCCCAGGGGAGGCAGGGAGGCCGGTTAGCAAGCTATTGCTGTAATTCAGGCTAAAAACGATGGTGGCATGGAACGGGATGGTAGGGGTGGAGGTGTTGAGAAGTGGTTGGGTTCAGGGTAAGTTTTGAAGGACAAGCTCACAAAATTGCCCATGAACAATGACGGGAGAGGTAAAGGGAGATTGCAAAGTTTTGGCCTAATCAGCAAGAAGGATGGAGATGCCATTACTGAAAAGAGAAAGGCAGTGGGAGGGGTTGGTTAATCCTGGTGAGCCTGTCAGGAGAGAATGAATCAAGGCAGCAAATAAGGGGACAGACGTAAATGAAAGGAGCTCGGGCCTTGGCTCACAGCAGCTGTTTGGCCAGTCTCAGACCCTTCTCTCTCCTTCCCAGCACTTCCTTGTTACCTGCTCCTGTTCTCAGGAGGAATTTATTCATAGCCCACGCACACCTGCCCTTTTCCCACTACTTCTTCACAGATCAATATATAGTCAAAGCAGTTCCACAGCCGCGAGAGGGTCAGCTAAACCTCACCCGGAAAAAGCCCTTGACAGACTAGACTCGACAGGTAGATAAATCACATTTTTAAATAAAAAGGAGAAATGTTTGATACCTAAACAATATCCATGGCATTCCTCCTTGTGCCTTCAAGTATTTAAAGTGCTTCATCATTCTAAAAGTTTCCCTGAAACTGATTTTTTAATAGAAATTCTGTGAAGAGTAAAATGTAATATTGTATAAGCAGTTTAGAATTTCTGAAGAGATGCTAAGAAACCACAAAGTTACCAAAAAACCTGCAGAAACACTTACTGAATATATATTTCCTGGTAAAAATTCCTACGTGTTTTTATTCTTTTACCTATAATTTTGAAGCATAATACACATATTGAGAAGAAATAAATCGGGTAAATTCTATGCACTTATGCAAATATGTCTTAGCAATGTTATATGATGCTGACCTGAACAATAACATGTAAATAGAATCATACAGTCTACATATTAAAAGTAAGCTCAGTTCTTTAAAATTCTTTAATGCAGATTCATTTGAAATGTCAGTATTCCGTTCACATATCTCTATACTCTTAAGAATCATCAGCATTTAATTTATGAGTGTTTTTAGTTGGCAAGATTCTGCTGCTTAAAATTCAATTCAGTCCCCTCGGTCTGAGTTGAGGAATACTTATATCTTGTGTTTTTCCCAAACCCCTCCTCTAAGCTCAATTTCCCATAATTAATCTAATCTTTAATCCAAAATAGAGTGCAGCTCCCACCACTTCCCCACTCCAGCACAGGGCCGATAATACAGAGAATAGAGAAGCCCAGGGAAAAAGGACACATTTGTCTCATTCCTTGTTGCTATTCCTTTGTCCCTGAAGTATCCAGTGTGTGTGACTTCATGTAGCATTAAAGCTGCTATCAGGTGGAGCAGGTGCAAGCCCACTGCTGGGAGGAAGCATGCGAGAACAGACCAGTTTACCTCCCAGGAGGAGCATGTGCCTCCGATGGCCTCATTAGATTATTCAGCAGCAGCAGGACAGAGCACCCAGCCTTGCCAAGGAAGCTCAGGAGCAAACAAGGACTGCTCTCTCTTGGTTGGCACATAGGAGCACTGGCAGCAGCAACAAAACTCTTGTAGATGTCTAGGGTTATGACTCATGGGCTTTTAACACTAAATTATGGTATGACAAGAACCTCTTCGGGCTCCCCAAGCTACACAGTGGGAAGCAAATGTCTTTGAGCTAATATGCTAGTATTTAGTGTAAAATGAAGCAAAGTAGTCCACAGGGGCTAGGAAAAGCACGAAGTTGGCTATGTAGTCTTTTGTTCTTACATTTACAAATAGGACTTTCCTAACTCATGACCAAGGAATGGTTTATCTCCAAGAAGAATCTATTTGTTGCTTTTGTTTGAAGTCTCAATGCTTTTCTTTAGCTTTAACCAGGCAAGACCCCTGTTTAAAGCAAGTAGCAAGATTTCCTCAGGTTTCATTATCATGGTAATTATTAGCATTTTAAACTCTACTAACACTAAGTCCATTTACCAGCTGGGGATCACCCCATCCTCTGACTTAGATGGGGGAAAAGGAACTGGTTTTGAATGATCTGGTTTTTTTAATTTCAGGAATAGTTGCTGTTCTCTTCTGTGGAGTCACACAGGCACATTATACCTACAACAATCTGTCGTCGGATTCCAAAATGAGGACTAAACAGGTAAAAGAAAAAGCTCATTGTAGGCTTTGTCTCTTTTCTCAGCGTAATGGTTCTGCAGCAATTCTGGCAGTGCCTTCAGAGAGAATTTCATTAGTAAAGGAAGAAAGTAAGCTCAAGGCTTCATTACGGGTTGGATATTTATAGATCCTTTTTTTTCCCCCTCTAGGATAACCATTAACAATTCTCTGGGTAAGCAAAAATATAGTTATAATAGTCTCTCCCTCCTGAGAGATGTGGAACTTAGACTGTCAGTCTTGAAGATGAAAGACCTATAGTCGGTAATAATTCACAGTCACTTACATCTGAAAGCATTATAAAGCATGTGAGTTTGGGTTGTTATAGGGGGAGAAAAAAATGAAGAAGAAGGAGGAAGTGATGTTTGGTTTTAATTGGGTGCCTTTGATTCCAAGCAAACTCAACTGCCAGCTGTCACACCAGCAGAATGTATCTCTCTTATGACAAGAACATATCTGCATGGATATTTGCACATCAGCACACATTGATTCCTTCCACAAAAATTCGCTACAGAGCCATTTTGTGCCAAGCACTGAGCTGGACACCAGGCACACAAAGACAGATAGTATATGACCCGGCCTTCAATAAGTTCATTGTCAAGTCTATTGATGAGGACAAAGATGTGTGACAAACAATTGTATACAGTGTAAGAAGTGCTACAATAGAAATAATTATCTGTACAGGGCGATTGGGGAGCATTTGGTAGGGCATCTTCTTATAGTTAGGATTGGGGAAGTCAGGAGAAAGTTCCAGAGATCGATGATGCCCAATCTGGAGCTTGAAATGAAAACCTAAGTTATTTAAGTAAAAACATTGTGTCTGGTGGGGAATGGAAGGTAGTAAGAAGGGTATTTGAGGCCAAGGGATCAGCATGGATAAAGTCTCTTAAGCAGTCAGTAGAAGCTCTGTAAATAGTTCATTGTGTTTAGCAATTGGGACAGACTAGTGCAAGTGAATAGGGTGAGGGACAAGACCACAGATACTGCTAGAGGCCAATTTATGAAAAGAGTTGAATACCTTGGGAAGGAATTTAGACTTTATACTAAAGGTAATTAAGAGTAGTATAAATAACAGAAATTTATTATCTCACAGTTCTGGAGGCCAGAAGTGTGAGATCAAGGTCTTGGCTTGGATTATTTCCTTTTGAGGGCTCTGAGGAAGAATCTGTTCTATATTTCCCCCTGGGGAATTTTGGCAATCTTTAGGATTCCTTGCCTTGCGTCACATGACTCTGATCCCTGCCTCTGCAGTCACATTGCATTCTCCCTGTGTACACATCTACTGCCATATTTCCCATTTTGTAAGGACACTGGTCATCCAGGATGAAGTCATCTTAACTACTTACATTTTTCAATAATGCTATCTCTAAATAAGGTCACATTCTAAGGTACTGTTAGGACTTCAACGTGTGAATTTTGGGAGAACACCATTCCACCTATAGCTGGAAGTCATTGAAGGTGCTAGGCAGAATAATTTTAAGATAATTAGAGTTCCATTTAAGAAATATTACTCTGGCAGAGATGAGAGGCATGGATAAAAAGACAATTAGTTCGGTTTTGCTGACAAATGACCACACGACTCCAGTGGCATCCAACAATAAATGCTTAGTATCACATACCTGTAAGGCTCACCCATTTGATCTGGGTTGAACTGAGTGTTTCTTCTTATACCGACTGAGCTCACTCACATCTGTGAACTTGTTGGGGGATCTATTCTAGGGCAGGCTTGACTGAGGAACATTTGTCAGTGCCACATGTCTGTCATTCTTCTTCTGGAGGAATAAGCCCACCCAGTGTCAAAGAAATCCATTTCTTGCCTGTACTTGCATCATATTTCCTAAGCATCCTATTGAAAAAAGAAAATCACGTGGTTCAGTTCAAAGTTCAGAGGCCAGGCAAGTCCCTTACCCACAGTGGGACACCACTTCAAAGTCACATGTCAAGGAGTATGGATGAGGGAATGATAGAGCACTGGGCCAAAGGATGGGATCTATCCCCAAATGTAAATGGGGGTAAGGAAGCTCTTTTACGTGTATTAAATCCGACACTGACAAAGACATCTAATGTGATATTAGGGTGGTGGAAAGAGTGAAGGCAAAAGTAACATCCAAGCAGAACCTGTGATTGCCAAGGATTCCTAAAGAGAAGTTCTCAAAGGCTCACTTTAGAGCTTTCCAACGTGTCATTTGCTTTCAACCCTCTCTCTTGTCATGTTCCAAGCTCAGAGGGCCCTGCCCTACCTCCACCTGCTGAGAGACTCTCAGAATGGTCACCTTCCCCTCTACCCATCACTTCAGATGACTCACAGGAATTGCCAATGCAATTAAAGAAACTTTGAGGACCCCTGAGTGAAACAAAAATAAGAACAAACCAGAAAATTGATGAAATACCCAGAAACGTCCAAATACAGTCTTCTAGAATCCTTTTAATTATGGAGACTAATAGTATTCCCTAGGGCTTAAAGGGAAACGTCTTGGGCTGGTTTTACCTGACCTTTTTTAGTTCTCTGAGCATTTGTATTCTGGGAAGCTGAACCCTGGTTAGGGGCTTGCACTTTTAAGTCTTGTTATCTAGGTTGCTCGGCAGAACTTCAAAGATAACTCATCTCATGGCAAGACAGCACCCCAGCACCTAGGGGAGACAAAGCCAGAATCATTTTCCACAGCCTTCTGTTCTCCCTCTGATTGGCTTGACAAGCCCTGCCCGACAGGCTGCCAGCATCCATTTCACAGCACTCTCCGTTAAGAGAGGAGAGTTTTACAAGTCCGTTCTTTAAGATCCAGATAACTGCATACCCTCATCTCTGTTACCCCCACTGCCTTCTTTCTTGGGTGTCTGGATCATAGCAGAAGCTGAATGAATGCTAATTTCTTTCCACTCCCTTCTCATTCCCTTCCTTATTTCTTTTCTTTCTTTCAGAATCTGCTTATTTTTCTCTCACAATATAAATGTGCGTAGAATATGTACATATTTATACGTTCACATATTTACCTGTGCACACATGTATGTATGCATAGCCCACATTCTAGTATATAGAGCCTAAGATCCACTTTGAAAGAAATGTAATCAGAGGTCCTCAGCTATATCCGTAGCAATGTAGCAAGCAAAGTTCAAAAGCCACAGTGGAAACCAATTACAAAGTGTAGAGCAAGGCTCAGGCACATGCTGTAGAGTCAAACGACCCTTTCACAGGGGTTGCCTAAGAAAGACCATCGGAAAACACATATTTCCAATGGTCTTAGGAACCGAGATACCTCTCCTCTATCTGAAAATAATTTCATGGTTGGGGGTCACCACAACATGAGGAACCATAATATTAAAGGGTCACGGCATTAGGAAGGTTGAGAACCACTGCTATAGAGGTTGCCACAGCAACCTCTGGGTCTGGGAAGTATTACATTGATGTCGCACGATTACAAAAGTGTTTTATTCATTGACCTTATCTATACCAGCTGATCAAATAGCTATATCTGGATATATAGGCTTTGGAGAATTATGTGTCCTTTATAGCTTCAAGAATTAGAGTGCTTTTTTAAAATTGCATTTTTTCACTTTAAGATGTCTTAAAGTTTTCTAAATGATAATGACCCTCTAAATGTAGATGACTTAATTTTTGCTCCATCCTATGAAAAAACATGTAGCATCACTATATGTTAGGCACACAGCAGCCTACTGAAGACTCTGTGATGATATTACCCACCCTAAGGGTTTATAATTTGAATATGAAAGCGTCCTATCATAGAGCATGTGACATACACAACCATCCCCATTCCTGGACTGGCAGTGGCCTGTGGCTTTCGGGTGTGCACATCTGCCCTAGAGAGATGCTTCAAACCTACCTCTTGTAAGAAGCAGCTGGCACTGATAAGGACACTCCAGATGGATGTCGGCACACAGTGGCCATAGCCTAGTAGCCTAGAGGTCTCACCTTGAGCCATCAGAAGATTGTGTGCAGACCCCATAAGCCTGCTCACACAAATTACAGCCTGCCTCCCAGCTTCTTCTTACCTCATTCTTGTGCCCCCCCAGGCAGGCCTGGGAGCTCCAGGGTGTTCTCATAAGTTGTCTTTAGCTTGCTTGAGGCTGACTTGCAAAACCACATACTTTCATCTCATCCCTTTTAACTAGAATTTCTCCTTCCCTTCACAGAATTTGCACTTAAAAATTATTTCCAACAGATACACATGGGTGTAAGATATGAATGTAAATAATGAACATTTATTGTGCATTAGCAAGTATGAAGTACTCATCTCATTTACTTTCTACTTACCTTTATACCTAAGAGGCCGTTCTTCTTATCACTAATTACCTTCATTCACCGAACAAATACCTTTTGAGAGCCTACTTTGTGCCAGCCACTGTTCAAGGTGCTGGAGATACAACAGTGAACAACAAAGAATTTCTAGGAGAGGAGCTTTACAGTAATCAAAATCTATAAGCAAAATATATGGTGTATTCACAGTAAGACATTAAGGCAAATAATAAGGCAGATTTAGGAGTTTGTGTATGAGGAGGCAGGGATTGAGTGGCCAGGGAGGGCATTAGTGAGGTGATGATACTTGAAGGAAGTAAAAGAGGGAGCCGTGTCAACTTTGGGAACAGGGATGTCCAGAAATTGGGAACAACAGATACAAAAGCTCCCCCTGGGGCAGGGGGACCAGTGTGACTGGAGCAGGTAAACCAGGGGAGAGTATGAGAGGCAATATTAAAGCAGAGGCAAGGAAGAGATCCTGGAGGACCTGAATGAGGTGGGATAACAATGAAGAACTTTAAGTTCAAGCTAGTGCATGCCACGATTTAAGTTTTAAAAGAAAGGCGTTGCCATTTATTAGCTAGGGAAGACCGAGTATCAGGTTTGAGAAATAATTAGGAGCTCAGCATTGTGTGGTTGAGTTTGGGAAGTGTATTAGTCATTCATGTGGAGCTTTTAAGTAACTGGCTGGACATAGGGGTCCGGAGTTCGGGAGAGAGGTCTGGGATGGGGGA